CTGCCGAGCTAGAGCGTGTGTTTAGAATAAAGTGGGTCACGATTTAGAGTACTTGGTACTCTAAACTATGTGAGGGTGCGTGGAAGACACGAAGATATGGACTATGATCGCCTTTTAATAGGTTGCATTTAAGCGATGGTTAACAAGACAATGCGCTGCAAATTGTTGGGGAAGCTAACAACTAACATGCCTCCTGAATGACTCAAGGAAGGACGCAACGTGAGCGCACCGTAGAAATATTGCGCAACAAATAAACGTCAGATAAGTTCGCCGTTGCTGCAATAATATCGGAAATTGTCGCGCTTTTGGAAGTATATACTAATAAAATAAGTTCTCCAGCGACACTTAGTCCCCTCGGCTGCTGACCCGCAGGTCGCGGATCGAGTCCCGGCTGCGGCGGCTGCATTTCCGATGGAGGCGGAAATGTTGTAGGCCCGTGTGCTCAGATTTGGGTGCACGTTAAAGAACCCCTTCAGGTGTTCGATATTTTCGGAGCCCTCTACTACGGCGTCCCTGATAATCATATGGTGGTTTTGGGACGTTAAACCCCACATATGACATCCCACTTAGTTCAGTGTTTCTAAGGTTAAAATTAAAAACTAAAAACGGATCATGGAAACATGGATTACGCCTGTTTCCGGGAGGCTAGATAAAACAACGGTGAAAAAAATTCCGCCATATCCACGATGTGAATGATGATGAGTGGGCGAAGCTCCGGAGGTAAACCTGGTAAACCATGAATCCTCTGTACATTTTGCCCACTCGATTTTATTACATCGCTCCCCCTAGCGTACGTCGCCGCACTAAATCGAACGATTGCCTTCAACCAATGACACGCGCCATATGTGACATCATTCCTATTTTATAAGATCTCGCGTCTTTCATCAACTACAAGTACCGCTTTCTAGTTTATAACATCTTGCATCTTTTCATCATCAGCTACAAGTACCACCATCTAGTAAACACTACAAGAACTAAACGAGAGGTGGCTACATACAGGAGACGGTACCGCCATCTAGTGAACACTGCAAGTACTAAACTAGAGGTGGCTACATACAGGGGACGGTACCGCCATCTAGTGAACACTGCAAGAACTAAACTAGAGGTGGCTACATACAGGCTACAGGGGACGCACAGCCCACGCCCTAAGGAGCTTCGCCCCTAAAAATTTCAATGTGATGATATGCTTATTGGTGGCTATATGACACATCGCATGCAGCGATTACGTGAGCAGCTGCTTGCGTGTGCTCTTATTACATACTGGTGCCTGTATGACACACTGAAAGCGACAGGGAGCTTGATGCTTGCGTCGATTTCTATATTGGCTGTGCGAGATGAGTGAAGGGTGAAGTGCTTCAGCAGAGCCGATTTTTTACGACGCAATAACGGAAACGGCGAAGCTAGGCCGTGAGTGTATTTTCGGAGTATGCTCGTACTCGGGAAGTACCCAGAAGGAAACAACATTATTTTTTTGAAGGGATGTATAATACTGGGTCTTAATGACGTGATAGTCGAATACAAGAAGAAGAAATGCTCATAGGCAGAGCAAGTAGCGCGAAGGCAAGATAACCGCTGGATTCCAAGAGAAGGCAAACGGGCAAAGTGGAGACAGAAAGTTAGGTGGGCGGATAAGATTAGGAAGTTTGTGGGTATAAAGTGGCAGCAGCAATCAGAGGACCGAGTTGACTGGCGGGAAATGGGAGAGGATTTTATCCTGCAGTGGGTGTAGTCAGGCTGCTGCTGCTGCTGCTGCTGCTGCTGCTGCTGCTGCTGCTGCTGCTGCTGCTGATGATGATGATGATGATGACGACGACGATGATGGTGATGATGATGATGATGATGATTACTGGTTGGAGGAAACTTCTCGTCGTTGTGTATAAATAACATTGTGTTGTAGGGACTGTTATTTGTGTGGCAATCTGGTGCTTCACCTGCGGGGATATTACTCACAACCACCATAACCAATGTTTGCATGGTTTTTGCGAACACGTGTGCCACCCTGAATTTTTGCGAGGACATGTGCCATCCTGGATGCGCGTACTGAGTTTAGGCAGCGGTGGGAGGGTCTCCCCACTCCCCGTTTGAAACTGGTTCTTCCGCAAATAGGTTCCTTCCTCAAATAGTCAAGGCCTTTAGCAAAGGCATTCCTTACACCCATGCAACCCTCCACGTCACTGCAAAAAAAAAAAAAAAACAACAACAACAACAACACGTATACGGGCCTGATACATTTCCTTACTTAGCTTGCTGCCAAGCATAGTTGTGACCTTGAATCTCGCTAATTAAGGCCTACAATATTTGCCTGCGGTAGCACGTCATCGCAGTTGGTGTACCCGAATTGAGGCTTCACAGGCTCTACAGTTGTTCGTTCTTATGAATCTTCATTGTATTCGCTTATTTATCGTTACTTTTCTACTCCACGCGTTCAACGCTCGACGAATGTGGGTCACATCCCGGAGGAAGGTCACGGTGTGAAGGGGTGGGCGCGGGGTTACAACCTTTCGAACCCGCCACCATATGAGGGCGCGCAATGTGTCACAAATGCGCACAATGCTGGCCCCAGCTCAGTCGGCACGGGCCACCGCGAGGAGGACGAAGACGAGAGGGGGGAGGGGGATGGGGCGAGCAGTGGTGGAGACGGCGCGACACACAACACTCCTCCCTTGTGATGAGTCGTCAGTGCGGTGTCTTTTTCTGTCTGTACACATACGATGCGACGGGTGCTTCATAAACACTCTATGCAGCTTACTCCACGAATGGAGGACTACATTAGTGTCTCTCTTTGTACACACACACACACACACACACACACACACACACACACACACACACACACACACACACACACACACACACACACACACACACACACACACACACACACACACACACACACACACACACACACACACACACACACACACACACACACACACACACACACACACACACACACACACACACACACACACACACACACACACACACACACACACACGAGAGTCGAAGTCAACTCTCGTTTAGTAAATCTCAATAGACCCTGGATTTTGTTTTGATTATAACAAGTTCTTATATATCTGTTGCTACCTCGTTCTGTTGCTACCTCGTTCGCCCGTTTGTCTCGTTTTTTTTTATTGTTTTGGAGGGTCTTCAAACTGTGAGGGTGACCCTCTGCTACGGGAACTTGTACCATTTCACTTACATCCTCCGAAGAAGGCTGGTCCCCCAGCCGAAACTGTTAGGATCAAATAAATGTTTTATTGTTTTGTTTCCTATACTGCAATATTCTCGAAGTTAAATATATATATATATATATATATATATATATATATATATATATATATATATATATATATATATATATATGTGACTCTGACCAAAGGGCGACGTCGCACATTATAATTAAGGATTGCTTTTCATAACAATTTAAAATTTCAAAGCGTTTTAAAACCCTAACTGCAAAAAATAAGCAGAAAGAAGAGCGGGCCAACCAAAAATCTGAATTCCTTCTGAATTGACCGAAATTATGAATTAACCTCTCCCTCAGCGCTCGTCACACTTCTTCCTCCTTGAACGTAAGCCTCAGACAGCAGACGGTTCCTGTCGCTTGATGTTGCAGTTTTATTTAATTTTTTTCGACGTAAGCAAGGCTCCTTCCGAGCAATTGACAAAAAAAAAATTAACTTCTTATATATCCTCAGCTCTGACTCTCAATTACAAGCCCGCTTGATACGGCAGGCCGAAGACGCCGCCAAGGCCCGTGGAATCATGGCCGTCGTCTTGGTTTGGTCCTCCCTTCTCCTCTCGCACCTGAAAGGGGAGGAGGATCTTTCTGCTAATTAAATGAAGTTCGCTCATCATCATCATCTTAGATAGTACCGCCACGTAATACTACGCCAGCTGCGTGCGTCTGTCACGAGGATATATACACGAGTACTGCAAATACAAACATCTGAACGTGAGAGGACTTGCGAGACAGGTATACGTGTGGACACACGTACGTCCATCACCTACAAAATATGTCAACGGCTTTTGGTAATGGCACCAACGATTTGCTACAGTACCATTCAGGCTCTACACCGCAGTTAGATGAACGATCTAGATGAACGATTTGCTACAAGCTCTATTTTAAAGGATTATGTCAATATCATCACCAGTACAGTTAACGGAAATCTCATTTTACTTATCATCATCTGGAACTGGAACGCACATTTTTAGTGAGTGCGATGCCCGCTTATCATCATCATCATCAGTGTTTATTCAATCAACGTAATACAAAAACATGGTTACAAAAGTATTTGGACCATTAGCCTGTGTGGCTAGTCAGTGGTCCAATCTATTACATGATTATTTTAATACGTGTCAGGAGCAGAGGTGCAGTTAATATGATTATGAATCTATACACAAATTCAATGACAGGGTAGCTTTTAAGGTATATTTTATTGAATTAAATACACCTCGTGTTTTCACAAAAGTACCTCGTGTTTTCACAAAAGTGGTACGGCGTCCGAATTTTCGCTTACGAGAGCGTTGAACATGTGAGTAAAGTCAGCGCCTCCTTTGGTAAAATGTATGCTCGTGTGTTTTCGCAACCGAGGCAGTCAGTGCCTTGGAGGTGCTAAATGCCAACGTACAGTATTGTCTCGAAGATTATACCGCGCTACCCGGCAGCGGAGTAGCCTAACGAGTCTGAACTGCTGAAGCGCTAGTACTACAACATGTATAGCTTATCTCAGAACCCTATAGTCGCCACATACGTGGCCAGATTCTTCACGAAATAGCATGATTAGAGAACCCCGTCTGGCAAAGGGGGACGCCATTTTTAGAAAGCGTACTATCAATGCGGGAAGATAACTGCACACCTGCGCGAGGCAGGGGTTCGGCTCCTTGCCAACTCTGCGAGAAAAACGTTTCCCTTTTCTTTTTATTTTTTTTTTCTTCCAGCGGTGTGAAAGTGCTCCCACGAGCCCTGAGTTTCTGTTCTCTGCGTCTTTTCGCAGGAATTCCAACGAGATGGCCAGAAAAGTGCGAGAGCTGCTCCCATGTGAATGCCGCCGAGCGCATGCGAGAAACTCGGCGAAGTGCTGCGTGCATCGTCTCCTCTTTTTAACCGCCCCTCCGCGTCGTCTGCTCACGCTTCAAGGCTACGTTCCGGCTGCTTGACCCGCTGGTCCACATAAAACCCACGACGCACGCTACGAGCACCTCCTTATATAAGCGCTCGCTTATTTCGTATTGCTTTTGTTGTTGTAGGGCGGGCGCCAAAAAGGGGGGATGTTCGCTGGAGGGTATAATTGTCATGCTTTCTCTCTCTCTCTTTTTTTTTTCTTGCAGCACGTAAGCCCACTTCTGTTATTCACGCTAAATTATGTGCCCAGGAGGGCGCAAAACAAAACAAAAAACAACGGAATCTTTGACAGCCTCGTTGAGTAATAGTTTACTGTGCGGAAAAAAAAAGCAGATAACAATCAACCTGGTCCCGAAGCTTACAGTCGTTTGAGACTGAATATGAACGTGTAATGGTGTGCTAAAAAAAAAAAAAAACCAAGAGTAAAGCATTCCACAGCGTCTTCGTAAAGTCCACGCGTGGCAAGTACACCAATGTGAAACTGCCTACGTTCAGCAGTAAGAAACGGTGTTAACCAAAATATCATTTATTTTTTGCGTTAGCGCATTGGCCTAGCTAGACACAAAAGCCGTTGTTCAGGGCCTGCAGTGTCTTTTTCTTTTTCAACGTTTGTTCACCGCAGGTGCTTTATAAAGATGCACGACTGCATAATGTTACGTCACGTAAAAGGTAAGACAGTTACACTATGTCCATGCAAATAATGGCGCTTGATATGGAGAAGTTTTGAACGTATGTCATTATATTCATGAATGTCCCACTGTGGAAACAGTATAGAGGCATGGCATAACGTGCTTCCTGTCACTGCAGGTCGCAGAGGAAAAGTGGTACTTAGCGTCTTTGCTTGCGTTCGAGTTGCACAGCGGAACACAACAGCTTCGCGCCATCACACCAGTGGAGAAAAAAAAAAACACTGTCTGCCACACACGCGCGCACCATAACATCGAGCTCAAGCGCATGAAACATGAGGCAAGCTGCCAACGCACATACGCACAATAAAAGCACAGGGACCCGCATAAATCCTGAGGCGACCACAATGTAACACGAACCGGCGTTCGTGCATTTGCATTGCACACTGGAGTAGTGGCGCCCTCACCAAAAGCAGCGGCCGCCACTGTCAACTCAGCCGAGACACGTTCCCCCGCGGAGGAAGGAAAAGTGTTCCCCTTTGACGGCGGCGCGACGCAGAAGGCCGCACTTCATTTTTCATAAAACAGCCGTGATACGGAGGTAAGTAGTCTCAACGATTATTTTACTGTCGTGAAGGGCGAGAAATTGGGTACGTTCGAAGGACATGCATAATAAACAGACGAACGGTGCTACAGACACAGTGTACGTGCTTTTCGCCAGTTTTGTCTGTTGCGCTGTTCTTGAAAAGCCCTGCAACCCTTGTTCAGCATAATCAGAAAAGACGGCAGATTGACAGTCGAGGCTTCTGAGAACAGGCGAGCCTAACTTTATGGCGCAGCACGCCACCTGGAAGTTACAGTTCTCAAAGTAAACATGAAATCACTCCCTCTATACAAATGATGCCATGAACTCAAGTTACCGCGTCATAGACCGAAAGTTCAAGGCCACTGGCTCACTTGATTGAACACTTTATTGAACTATATGCAATGTGCTCCCGCTCATTGGCTTCAGCACCACATATAAAAAAAGAGAAAAGAAAAAAAACTGAAGAAAAAGAAAGGCGATCTCAAACTGGTCAGCTTGTTACTGATGGGTAGTGAATGGCCACCACGCGCAAGACATCGCACCACATATCCCACCTTGCTCTGACGAGTGGATCTTAGAGTCTACAGTGGGGATTCTTCTTGAGCATCGTGGGCTGCCTAGTTACCGCGGCCGCCACGGAATGGCGCCACATGCCCACGGGTATGAAGCGAAAAATCGCAGAATATCCACGGAGTTAATTATGACTAATGGGGCGAAGCGTTCGTCCATTTGTTCTTGCTTCCGTCTGTCCGTCCATGCGTCCGTCTCTGTCTGTCTGTCTGTCAGTCTGTACGTCCGTCCATATATGTCTGCTTGTCTGTCCGTCTGCCTGTCACTCATCCTAGCGCCACCTGCTGTCATACAACTAGGTGGTTACAAACCGGTCACATACATGCATGGACAGCCCACGGCTTTAAGACCTTCGCCCCCAATAAAAAAAAAAGTGCTTCGTCCCTGAATTGAGTGGCCACTGGATGCATGTAACAAAGGACTGGCTCTGCTCTTCGATACACCCTAGCTGCCACAGAAAGAGCGGGAGAATAAATAAATGCGATGAAATCGCAAGGCGCGGTTGTATGTGATCGAGAGAGGATAACTTCCCGTACACGTGACAGACACGAAGCTTACACGTGCCATCACGTATACGATCTTTGAAAATATCTAGAAAGCACTGCACTTTCATATGTTATAGTAAATCAGTCACCACAGCTATTAAATCGGTGTGCTATAGGCTATAGCGTTGGTAGTCAGTGTGTGGGGTGAGAAGGGGGTGCACAACCGGATCGCAGTGGGGTAATCGCTTGTGTAGCTTGGGTAGGGTGCGAGCGCACAAAGGGGCACGCGGGGGGGGGGGGGGGGGGGATTGCTCCTTGTTTCCCTCAATAGCCTCTGAGCGCGGACGCAGTCTGCGCCCCACACGTTTAGTTAACCACGAACAATCATGTTTCTGCCGATAATGGCGGCCGAAAGGCCCTTCATGTTGCATTACGAGAACTCTTTATTGTCCATTTTTACTCTCACAAAGCAAGGGACCAAAGGGAGGCGCTGAATGTTAATTTTCTTTTTTTTTTATGTAGTGTGGAGGGTGTTGTCCTTCGGGTTCGACCTACAGGTGGAGGAACCCCGCCGCGGTGGTCTAGTGGCTAAGGTACTCGGCTGCTGACCCGCAGGGCGCGGGTTCGAATCCCGGCTGCGGCGGCTGCATTTCCGATGGAGGCGGAAATGTTGTAGGCCCGTGTGCTCAGATTTGGGTGCACGTTAAAGAACCCCAGGTGGTCTAAATTTCCGGAGCCCTCCACTACGGCGTCTCTCATAATCATATAGTGGTTTTGGGACGTTAAACCCCACATATCAATCAAATCTACAGGTGGAGGGAGGACTTTCATGAGACTATGCCCCCATGAACGCGCTTAGTGGAGGGGGGGGGGCGGCAAGTGGCTCTTTAGCACACTCCTGCCGACACCCCCGGTTAGAGTGGACTGCGCACGCGGCGAGAAAACAAGATATCACCTGCGCGCACGTCGCGGTGTTGTGTGACAGGTGACACGGCAGGAATGTGCGACGCCTCATATGGGCTGAGCGGCAGAAAAACACGCACCGATGCCTGTCATTCTTTTACGCTATCAGTTTCGTTCGAAAAAAAAAAAAAGATTAGCGCCGCAAATCCTGAAAAATCACCAGAAAGGAGGGGGCGGGAAAGGGGTGAGACACAAGTCAGACCTCAGAGCACTCTTACACAGGTGAATCGAGAAGAATGGCATTGTTCTGGGCACACGTACCACCGTTTCTACGTACGCGTGACAACATATATAGGTGTTTTTTTAGTACACTAAAGTAACACGAACGTTTAAAATAGATTTCTTGAAACAATTCATTGGATTGTCTTACCCCACTTACACTGACATGTTTTGTCCACATAAATGGACATTGGGTTACTCAAGGTTAAGTTGGCCCAACCGGCATAGACAAGTCGCGCAGACAAACGTAGCCACCACCGCTGAAATGGTTGTAGACGAGTGGCAGAAGTACTCCGCGAGTACTTGATTTCTTCTTGGAGTGTATATTATAGTTGTGTGGCAGAAAAAAAAAAACGTCACAGAAACACCCGTTTGTCACCGAGTGTACTTTGTACAGAGCAATGCGTTTGGCATTCTCGCGCTGTTTGTTGCTAAAACAGCGTGCGTTTTTGTGTGTTGGCTTGATTTCATCATGGTGACCCCCCTGGCGTCGACTCAGCCGATGCAGGATTGGCAGGAATTCTCGCCAGGCGGCGATGCGCTCGCTAGATTAACTTCAAGCCAAGGACCCTCCCGTGCCTCATTCACGTCGGGAAAATAATGCAAGAAAAAAGAGCAAAGTGGATTCTAAATACTGCACCCCAAGCACCTCATACTAGATATGTTTTGGGTGCCTTTTCTCTCGTGCGTTAGGAAAATATAGACAGTGGAACTTCCCTTGCACGCACATCAGGGTACCCCATGCAGGAAAAAAAGCTCTTTGTACTGAAATGTATGTAGATAGTGTAACTTGTTATCGGGAGCACAAGAAATCATTAGTTGTTGAAATTAAATGTGAAGCCTTTCATTTGCAATGCTGCTTAATTAAACGCGAATTTCTGCCTATAGCATGTTTTAGATTTGACAGGAATCTTTCCTAGAGTTCGTGCACTTAGGACTGCAGTGGTCATGAATTCAGTCACTGTGTCCAACCTCTCATGACCTTCTGCGACACAACACTCTGCTAAACAGTCGAAGACTTTTCCTTTTTTCTGTGAGCATCGATGCTTCTTTAGTTGAAATTCTCGGTGCTCCTCTTACATGGGTTACTAAATTCTGCCCCCCCCTTTTTTTTCACTCTCGCTGCAATTTCTTCTGTGGCAGTGGCGCATATCTTACGGCGTGAGTCATCGGTTGCGTATATAGTGCTGAAATAAAAAGGCGACGTCAATGCCCAATCTTTCAGACAATAGCTCATCAATTTGACGCGAAGAACACTGGACGGTGTGACAAAAGATGCCCGTAAAGTCGAAAAGCGCTCAGCACGTACTTCGTTAAACTGAAGTGCGTTAGAATCGGGTCCAATGACGCTTCGGCGGGGGATTAAAAAAAGTTCGTGTAAAGTAGTTCGTTGTTTAACTTACGTTTGTTCAAGTGGTTTTTTACTGCATTCGAATAAAATCCAATCCGACTGTTTTTGTCTTATTTTATTTCCGAACGCCTACTCACCCACGTCGTTCTCCTTTATTCCAAGGTTAAATAAATAAGTAAATACTAAAATCAATAAATAGGAAGGGTAAACAGCCCCCCCCTTCACCCCACACAAATAATAACAAGCATAGAGCAAGCATGTGCCGGGTGGAAAAGAAACATGCAGGTGTGAGGTTAAAACCTAGTCAAGTCGTGGATATAAGTCCTACCAGTTCTGCTGCCACTCAGCTTTGCGCCGCTTAGCGCAAGTCACGCAGTGATTTTTTCTCCAAAAAAGAATCCAAACCATCTAATGATGGTGATGACATACGTGACGTTACAGCTCAGGTCACATGGCCCTGTATAAACCGCGAAACACACGACCCCTAAAGGACGTCTCGAAACGCTCACAAAAGGGCTATACCAGAGAAGACTTAAAAAAGATATTTAAAAAAAAAGAGCATTCGAGACTCAAATGTGCTTGCAGACTGTTATCTATATTTTCAACCGCTACGTCATAGCCACAGTTCAT